GAAACTATATAGATATGTACATTGTTGTTAACTTAATTAGGGTACTGTTGAGCTGGCCTTTGCTAAATGCCTCCTCAATCTGATTGAACTTCGTTCACTGAGCTTTCCAACTTTTTCATCCACACTCGTCTTGTAAATTTGGTTCGTCTATCTTCTATTGTTCATAAATTATACGTACTATAGACTATAGGCACTGCAAGTGAACATCCATCTCTATATTTTGTGTACGACTACCACCTCTCCTGCGATCTGCAAGCGTGCGAGCTCATAGAAAGTTCCGATTTAGTAATGCATAAATTATCGTGGGGTCGTGAAAAATATTAACTTGATTTTAAATTAAATCCTAATTTTTTTGACCATTAAGTTTGCCATCAATGAAAAAGGGTCAATAAAGTAGTCCCTTAAAATACCAGTGCAACCATTTAATTTCTGTCGGAATACTTAAATGTTTATTTTTTCGAGCACAATGTCAATGGATTGTTGATTGTGCAATGAAAAAGTTGACTTATCGGTAAATACAATGTATTTTAAAGTTTTTATTTTAACTCTGTCAAGGAGTCAACCCCCGAAATACTGGTACTTCTTCATTCTAAATATCCGAAATCACTACAAATTTTCTCAAAATTTTCGAAATCATCAAAAATCATCTTCGAAAATCATGGTTGAAATCATCACCGAATTCACTTCGAAATTAACTCGTCGCTCCAAAATGTAAATGCAGTTGCTCGTGAATCAAAAGATAAGAAAAGAGCGCAAAAAGATCATCTTATAAAATTATGGGGGATTTTTTAGCGAAATCACCAAAATTACATAAACATTTTTTAGGTGATTTCCGAAATACGGGTACGTTTTGACATTAGTGATTTCCTTTTCGGACTCGGTCATAATTTCGGAAAACTGTACAAAAAAAATCTGATGTGTCCAACACATGACTTTCCTATCTAGTTATTATAGGCATTTTCCGGTTATTTTGTACAACCTATTGCAGCATCTCTATAAATGTTTAGAGGATAAACTAAATATATACATTTTACACATACATCTACCTCGAAACATTTTTCTATAGATATTCATTGAAAACGAAAATACAGAAAAATTTAAATTTAGCACTTTTCCATTACGGACCATTTTAGAAAACTCATGTATAAACAAAAATTATAGAAATCGATATCGCAAACAACTTTTAGTTCAACAATTTTCATAAAAATCAGAATTTTGCACATTTTGTCAAATTTCTCGAATACGGACCATTTCAGGAAATTTTGACATAAAACAAAAATTATAGATAATAATATTAGAAGTAACTTTTATTTGATTAATTTTCTTCTCCAAACATAAATAACAGATATATTCCATAAAATATAAAAACGGCCTCCCATAAAGTACCCCCCCAGATGTTCCAACTTTGTCCAAAATCTAATCATTTCACGTCAGGCCGAAATAAACCTTAAGTTTAAAATTTAATGTTTTTTCCTTTATCCGTTTTTGAGTTTTCTTCAAATTTCGAAATTTACACATTTTCTCAAATATCTCGAATACGGTCCATTTTAGAGAAATTATGTATGTGACAAAAATTATAGAGAATTATATTATAAACAACTTTTATTTGAACAATTTTTATAAAAAATTAGTTTTTTTACATTTTGTCAAATTTCTCGAATACGGACCATTTTAGGAAAATTTTGCATAAAACAAAAATTATAGATAATTATATTAGAAGTAACTTTTATTTGAAGAATTTTCTTCTCCAAACGTAAATAACAGATATATTCCATAAAATATAAAAATGACCACCTATAAAGTACCCCCCCAGATGTTCCGACACTGCCCAAAATCTAATCAGCTCATTGGACGCTGAAACAAAGCTTAAGTTTAAAATTTGGTGTTCTTCTGTGTATCGGTTCATGAGTTATGCGTTATACAGACACACACACACACACAGACACACAGACACACAGACACACAGACACACACACAGACATCATCGCGAAAATAGTCAAAACGGATTCAGGGGACCTCAAAACGTAAAAATCCGTCGAAAACTCGAAGTCGAAAAAAATCATGATTCCTATACTTTCCTTATATCTGTATACAGATAGGAAAGTAAAAAACAAAGTAACAAAATTATGCTATACTAATTGTAACAAGTAACTGCCTGCAAATAATTAGCAACCGTTGTGTCCATCAATTGACTTCCGATGAACATCCAATGGATTGACTTGTGCTGTCTGGATAGGGATTCAAAACACCCCTAAAATTTTTATGGGCTGTACAGATTTCGTAGTTTTCTGTGAAAAAAATGCTTTTACTTATGAAAGCCATGTATCCATTTTCGATACAAAATGTTAAACAGTTCATGAAATATTGTAAAAAATCTATTTTAATTTTGTACTTTCCAAGGGCTGTAACTTTTTTTGTGTGCACATTCGCATTAAGGTAAATTATGTTCAATCGAGTTATTTTTAAGTCCAAAATATGTGGTTCTATTTATAACCTACCATTTTGTTACATCTTGTATAGATATAATAAATTATTACAATTGTTCTAATATATGAAAACCTAACTCACGCAGACGAAGATACAGGCTCAGTGTGCTTCAATGCATTTCTCATTATACATCGATGCTGTAAAGAGTTATTTGAAGATTTGAACGAGCCTAAAACATCGCTTGGCCCGAATTAGCACATCAAATGTCGCGCTGGTCTAGAGCAGCGTTTTTCAAACTTTTTTGGCGACGGAACCCTTTAGAAAAGCGAAATATTTGACGGAGCCCTAAAATAATAAAAATACTTTTTTTACTTTGCAACCCCGGGACATTTCTAAGAAAAAAAAGAAAAAAATAGGACCTCAAGCAGCAAAATTCAGATTTTTTCTTAGTGAATTAGTAAACTCTAAAAAAGAAAGTCCTCAAACCCAGGTCCTATCTTTTGTGGCGAACTTCCTCATAGTACTTCTTTAGTATTTTTTTATTATGACCATTATGTTCGCGGAGCCCCACCAGAGACTCTGCTGAGTTGGGCTCCGCGGATCACACTTTGAGAAACGTTGGTCTAGAGGTAGGGCATGTATGTACAGAACAAAGATATTTGGGTTCGGATCCCTGCGCTGACAAGCTTTTTTTACATCTCCAAGTATGTGTTTTCACCTTTGAGGTTCGGGGATGATCTTAATAATTCGTAGGGGGGAAAGATTTGTTTCCGAATTTTTAAATCATTTTAGTTTATTAATATTATTATAATATGCATTATTTTTTGAGAAATAGAAAATATACAATGTATAATGCACAATCTATTGCACCTCACAATTCTGGAAAATAAACAAATTGAAGTTTCAATCATTGTTTAATATTCTACTTATCTACATTTCGTATGACGAAATGTATACTTAATCTTTAAATTAAAAAACTATAGTGAGAAATCATACTAATAATAAAAAATCTTTGAATAAAAACGTTTTCCTAGTAATTTGTAATGTGCAAACACCAATTAGCAAATAATTATACATTTCTTATTAATCTGTACTTCTTACTTTTACCGTGTAATTATAAAATTGACGAACCATGTCAAGAACCTCTAGTTCTAGGTATATTTTGCCAATAAATTCCTAAGTAAATTTATGCACATATTTTTATATAACTTTTAAATAATACAAAATTAAATGATTCCCCAGACTTTATATAATATTATTAATAAAACCCAATAATATTATAATAGGAAGAAATGTTTATAGAGTAAACAATAGGAAATAATTTCACAATAAAATCTACATATTTGTATTAAACATTTTTCAAATTATTCAACACCAAACATATAAAATTATAAGATAAAATAAAAGAGTGTTGTGTTAGTAATCTTATAAGCAGTAGCGGCGGCTATTGGTTTTTCAGTGGAGTGCAAGGGGCAAATAGCAAAGAGCAATGATAATTAAACATTAAATCAAACCACGCTATGGGTAACTCCAAAAATAAATGAGCAATCTGTTTGTTTACATTGGGATTAGTTAGATTTTTTTAACTTTATACGGTGAAAAAACGAACACACTATTAAATTATTCTAGTTTAAATGAATGTTTTATAAATGGCGTTTACTTCTAGTTAAAGAGTACCATGCACCCCATAATACCGTGTTTAGGTGCAATAGATTATTTGCTGCTATGTAACCGCCGCCCCTGCATATAAATAAGGGTCAAAATGATATAATATCGCACATCCGATCAAATGGAGTTTTAACTTAAAAACTTGTGTTTTTGTCCGGGGAAGTTAGGAAAAATAGCGGAAATTTTTAGGGACAGCAGATATCGAGATGCGGTTTTCTGCATTGTGTTCAGGAAGGTCCCAGGAAAAATGATTGTATCGTATGGTTCAGCCATTTTTTGAAAAATGACTTCTGGGCCGGAAAATGCATTTTCCAATTGCATCATTACTTGCACCATTATAGGAACGACTGGAAACTCGGAAATTGTTACTCGGGAGTTTTCGGGGCTGCGGAACTCGATTTTTGCATTATATTTTCCCGAGGATGGCTCTGTGTGGTTGACTGGGAGTGATTAGGGTGGGGGAATGGCAGCGTCCATGAAAATCACTCCAAAATCGTTGCTCTAGGGTTTTCGGGGATGCCAAATTCAATTCTGGCATTAGACTTCTTGGGGGCACTCGGGGGTGGCTTTGTGGGGGATGGTAAAGGAGAAAGTGAAAAATCACAAATTATGAAAATAATATACAAATAACAAATAGGAGTTTTTATTAATGTTAAATTATTCATTATGAACTTAAATTTTTAACTTAAATACTAAACATCTTGTTCAAACTCTTCTTCTTCTCCTCCTCCTCCTTTATCTTCTTCCTCGTCACTATTCTCGGCTCCCTTAAAAGTGCCTTTTTTGTTTGAGCAATTGCCATCGCAATGCTCGCATGCAAGTGAGCACTCGAACCCACTTCGGCGGCACCCGCACCTTGTGTCACGGCCGTTTTCTCAAGAACAAGAAATTTTGCTTAAAATTCCCTAGGGACCGGTTTCCTGGGTCATGGTGACAGGACTGAGCTCTCCATCCACCAATGCCCACCCCCATTCCAATGACTCTAAGGCCTCGTCCTGGCCTTGTGAATCATACCAAGCCTGTATTTGGAAATAGATACGCTTGATATGCTCGGTTAACGCATTGGCAGTCGGGATTATGCGTGCAAGATCGACTTTTTTAGAATTGGTGACTTCAGCATACATTTTTGCTCGATAGGTTTGGGCGAGCTCAATCGCAACCCCACAGAGCCACCCCCGAGGAAATCTAATGCTAGAATTGAATTCGGCATCCCCGAAAACTCCCGAGTAACGAGTTTGGAGCGCTTCCCATGGACTATGAATTTCTCCCCCAGAATGACCCCCCCGGATACCCCCGCAAAGCCGCCTTTGAGTACCCCCGGGTAATTCCAATGCCAGAATTGAATTTGGCATCCCCAAAAACCCATGAGTAACGATTTTGGAGTGATTTTCATGGACGCTGCCATTTCTCCCCAATTCACTTCCCGCGCACCCCCCACAGAGCCACCTCGTGCACCCCTGGGTAATTCTAATGCCAGAATAGAGTTTGGCAGCCCCGAAAACCATCGAGTAACGATTTCTGAGTAATTTTTCCGAGTTTCCAGTCGTTCCTATAATAGTGCAAGTAATGACGCAATTGGAAAATGCTTTTTCTGGCCCAGAAGGCATTTTTCAAAAAATGGCTAAACCAGACGATATAGACTTTTTTCCTGGGACCTTCCTGAACACAATGCAGAAAACCGCATCTCGATATCTGCTGTCCCTAAAAATTTCCGCAATTTCGGTCGATTTTGATCTAAATGCTCTGGACTATTTTAAGTTAAATAGATACAAATGCTCAAAATTAAACGGTGAATCATCTCAAACAGAGTCATATCTGTAACGCCACATATTCGTCACTAGATGGCAGATGTCACGGTTTAGCACTGAGGCCAGTTTGCTCTTTAGTGTTCTTAATTAGTGTGACATTTGGTAATCTAATTTTTTTAAGTATATTTTATCGGAGGTGCGATATGTTTTAACATATACTCTGAATGCGGTAATACGGAAGGTACCCACTAAAATAAACAGAGTAGAGAACTGAACAAAAGAGGCATGTATTTAATGGGAACCTAATCATTTGATTATGAGTTTCTATAAATATTCAAAAATGTGCAACTCCCATACACTGAATTGCAAGATAGAAACACTATTGAGAAAACCAAATAGTGTGAAATTGAAGTTGGCAGCTGTCATATATGTTGAATGTAAGTCAGCCGTACAAACAAAGAACCTAGTAACTTGAAAAAGTTAATTTTTAGATAAAAGTTAAACATTTTGTACTCTTTTTGTTGCAGTTTTTTTTTAATTTTGGAGACAAGAACGAAATTTAGCACACTTTAATAAAAATGTCATCCCTACAAAATTATTATAACAGTTTTTAAATATTTTACAAAGAAACAAGGTTAGATACGTTACTGTAGTGACTAGTCTTATAAAATTCCAATGCTTGGCAATATAAAATCCTAGTAAGTTAAGTTACAGCAAAACACTGCTAAATATCCTGCTCAAAAACCTATGAGGTCTAGTTATAATAATTTATTAAAAAAAAATCTGCAGAAAACCCAATTAGGGCAAGTTACAATAACTTATTTTTCATCCCAAAATCCTATTATACAAACATTCAGTCATTTCTTTGGTTTTTTAAAGAGTTTTATGTAATAAATCTAAAAATATAGAAAGTAAATCATAATTAAAAATAATAAAAAAATTTCAATACTAAAAATATGTTTTTCCTAATGGGCGTGTTTAATGTAAACAAATTTAACGAATATAATGCTATTAAGTACTGTTTAAGTACAAAAAAAAATTTTTTTTATGCAATAAATTCTTTAAATAGATAATAAATAATAAAGTTATAGTACTTTAAAAAGTTCACTTTTAAATAAATTATTCAAAACACTCTATTTTTGCGTCGTTTAATGCGTCATAATAAAGCGCCTATTTCTATTGGTCACTAAAGAATCTGTGATACCATAACACATACAATTAATGATTATCTTTTTCTAATAGTGACATTTATGATAGTTATCTCTTTTTAAAATCATATCAAAAAATATGTTTTCATTTCTCATGATACAAAAATGTCAGTCAAAATTTCTAACCTCAAACCGATTGTGGGAAACAAGGAAACATTGAAATTGATTTTAAAAAGTGTGATAAAATAAACATTTGTTTAATTTTGCGTTACATTAGAAATATCTGGTTAAGTACTTAGTCCCTATGAGAAGTAAAAAAACCAGTCAATATATAATAAAATGTTAATAAAAGTTCCTTAAAATGTAGACCTAGACATTCAAAAACGATAGTGGGCTAAGGGCTGTTGCAAAATACAAACCACCATCATGCTTTTGTATTTATTTTGATGTAAGTAAAGATATTCTTGATTTGTTTTTTTTTTTAAACAATGGGATATAAATGATAAAATTTGCCTAGTTGATCAACTTGTAGGTACAATATAGGTACCTACCTTTTTACTTAACACTGATTCTGAGGGTACTAATTAATTAGGTTTTAGGTGGAAGAAGATGCAGAAAACTCGATTCATTTCAAAATTATCTGTAAAAATTTGATAATTAAACAAGATTTTCGTCATAAATATACTACCTAAAAGGTTATTTAACTGACCCTGACAAAAAAAATTGAAAATTTGAACTGTATTGTCATTCCATATATAAATGTTATTATTTACTTAATATTATTATTATTATTATTATTATTTACTTATTATTTACTTAAATAATTTTAATAAAGCTTGCCTGTTATTTATTGTATTCTTTTTAAGCAGAAATATATAAATAAATTACCTACAATATGTACAAAAACTTAATTTATTTGACTTGTGTATTATATATTCAGCTATGTTTCTAGTATTAATATGTATTTAACAAAAGCTAATAGATGTATTTAAAAACAAATCCTTTAAATATACAAATCATTTAAATGTTTTTTTTTATTTCTGATAGTTTTGCGAAATCTATGCAACTCCACAAAAGTAAACGCCTGGACTATACCTATACAGTAAACTGTCAATGTCTTACCATAAATAAACCTTTTTAAAAGACTCGATTAACGGTAATATAATAGGTAATTGATAAATAAATATAAACAAACGACAAAACTTATTTTTATTTGAATTCAATATAAATATAGAACACTTTAAAAAAATATTTGCCGGCTTTATAATATCATTTATTTCTTGTTTACCAAAAATAAACTTCTATTATTTGAACGTCTTTATTTATTAAAAAAATTGGGATTCCACACAAAAAACCAATTGTTTATTAGAAAGCAACATTTGCAGTTAAATATGGAAGTATAATTTTCTGGTCACTTTATAGTCGATAATCTATTTATTCTTATTATTTATAAAAAGCACACATTTAATGTTTTTAATTCGAAGAAGAATCCACACCCTCAAATCATTAGAACTTCAAACTTTTGACAACAGTGGCCTTTTCTAATAACACAATGTTGTGATGGACGGTTATTCAGAAGTCAAAAGGACGCAACACATACACCCACCTTAACAAAAATAGAACTATGTAAAATCATTTAATATTGACACCTTCTGTAAATTGTCTAAGGATTCTTCTTTTAATACTGTTTGTACTTTGGCCATTTTCAAAAAATTAAATTATTTTATAATAAATCAAAATAATCTGGCAATCGAAAACGAGATTAGGATTTAGACATTTTAGACGCACAGATGAAACCCGTTGCCAGACTTAGAGAAAATATTTCACGATATGGCGATTATGATTTGAATAACATTTCGATTAAGAAGAAATAAGTTTATTGAAATAGTAAGTGACAAGTTGCTTTATAAATACTGAATTTAAACATTTATTATTTTAGTTTTAATATACATTTATCTTTTTGTGTTAAATTATACGATCTTAACCTTTAAATTGTCGGTTATCCGGAATTTCAAGAATTCTTTATAGAAAGCGGCAACAAGGGTCCTTTTTGTTTTAAGCAGTACAATTATATGTCCGGAACAATACGAGTTTTATATAATCTTGCAAGTACATTGTAGTATTCCTGTAGTGTCGGTAGTAGTGCATTTCGACCCATTATCGACCCATTACAGCATATTACCATAAAACATTTATTTTTACCCTTCCCCGAAAAATTTGCAAATGTCTCATGAAAGACTACTAATTTACCATTCGCAGTTTTATTTTTCTAAAACATCATTATCATACTGTTTTCTTGCCTCGGTGTATCTTTGTCTATGAGTTTTGTAGTTATGGTAAATTTTACGAAATTGGGCGTCATTGATTTTTAACCCAGCAAATTTTCTTTATTTTGGCCATCCTCCTTTTCTTTGTTAGTGTCTTCTTTTCTTCCAAGCCTGTCCTCGTCTTTTGCATTCTCAGTATTTTCCTTTTAATATTTTTTTATTGTGTAATAATTCGTAAGTTGTTCTTCGTGTGATCGTTTTTTATACTTGGAACATAACATAGAACATAACTTACTTTTTATGTCTGGTTGAAATTAAAATGCTTTTTTATATAGTAACATCTGGTAATAGGTATCTTCTATGGGTAGCATATTTCATATTGTAATGGGAGACCTGAGATTTTATATACGGAGTGGTCCAAAAGTCTGGAAACGGCCAATTATCTCGTAAATTGCTAATCCTAATTGTACAAAATTTGGTTTACACCTATTTTGGGATACGGAGATTCTAAATTTGATATTTGCAATGTTGCCAGATTTGCCGGTTCTCTTATATTATTAGTCACTTTGGTTTTTCAAATTCATCACTCTGTATATTAAGGCATTACTGGAATCTCCTATTCAAAACCAGTTGAACCATATGTAACACTTATGATTTTATGTAGTCTGGAAATTCTTAAATAAATAAAATAATCATGGAGAAATGTGGTAGATACATTCTATCATCGATTAGGGTACTGTCAACTCACAAATAGAGCACATTTTGAACACTTGATAAAGTAACCATTATGTTAAAAATGGTGTAATCTTTCAATTGTTACGTTTTAATGTAGTTGAAAATAGTTTGTATTAAATTTTTTTTGAGTTAATTAGGCGTTGCCAGACTTCTGTTTTATTTATTTAAGACCTTCCAGACTACCTAAAATCATAAGTGTTACTCGTATTGAATAGAAGATTCCAATAATGACTGAATATACAGGGTGATGAATTTAAAAAACCGAAGTGACTAATAATATAAGAGAAACTACAAATCTGACAACATTGCAAATATCAAATCTGGAATTTCCGTATCCCAAAATAGGTGTACCCCAAATTTTATATAATTGGGACTAGCAATTTAAGAGATAATTGGCCGTTTCCAGACTTTTGGGCCACTCTGTATATTTTTATAAATCTGTAATTTTTCATCTGATCCCTACGCTTGGTCCCCCTTCCATAATTTACACGTTTTTGAATAATACTTTAAGCGACTTTAAAAATCCATAGAAATTAATAATTAAAACTGGTTTCTTATCAATAAGTCACAAGATTGCATTTTAGCCATATACAATATTCAAAGGCAGAAATCTAATCATTTGCTAAACATTTAATATTTAAGGGATGTTGAAGAATATCAAAAAATATTTATTTATTGTTTATTTAAAACCTTTTCCAGTATTACTGTT